GGAGACGTTTGGTTCATGAATTAGAATCACGTGATTAAAATCATTTTTGATTTACGTGTATTTTTTGTCAGAGAAAATACTATAACGAATCATGAACTATGATTCAAATCATAATTTGAATTCTCCAACCAAACGTCCTGATTTCACAGCTTAAACGATTGATAATTGTTACAATACGCACCACATACCACAACTCCAAATCCCAACACCACCATTCGTTTCTTATTTTTTGGATTGTTGTGCTTCAAAGCAATATATTTTCACTTCCAAACATACACAATTTAGTTATAAGTAGTTGTTTTCTTCATTTGGGTTTTCATGTTTTGTAGCTAACTTGCTTTTGCTTAGCTTAATTAAGATATTGAATATAAATAGTATTTCCATGTATATAGGTAGTAAGTACGCACATACATTTAAAGTAATATATGTTCAATAAACTATTATAAATAGTTAACCAATGCCTTCAAATTGAATATTATTACATATGTAGCTGTTCCAACATCAATACGACATTATACTATTTTTTTTTTCTTTTATATAAGCGAACGTATATATAATTAGTTGGCGTTTTGGAAGAATGTGAATGGATATTGACAAGCTTAAAAAATAAATTTATATACCTTAGGAATGAAGCTTTCTGCAATTCTCTCAACTGGTTATTGTATTTCTTTTACAATTTATATGTAGCGTAATAGAGCAAGTTTCTAATTTCTTTGCTAAGCTACAATACCAAACGGCAGTCTTTTTTTTCTTGCAAATGATTACCAAACGGCAGTTGTATCTTACATATTTCACATATATGGTTCTGATATTATATATATATATATATATATATATATATTCTTTGTTATATGAATCTGATTCTCCCTTGCTAGTAAAGGACATGAGAATAATCCGTTAAAACTACTAACAAAAAGTACTATATAGTAAAAGGAAAGTGTATATATATATTTCACCGTGAATAAACAAAGTGGCATTAATTGCTTTAGTAGCATGCACGTGATTGATTGGGGTACTGTTTTTCATTCATATGAAGATGAATAATTCTTCCCCATGTCAGCCTTCTGGTGATATATATTAGGGAGAAAGAAGGAAATATGCCAAAAGATGAATTAAAATTAACAGGTTAATAGTTTACATAAGTTAATAAATAGGCTAAATTACTGTTTTCGTCCATAACTTGTATGGTTATGAACCATAACTTGACAAGTTATTGTCCATAATTCACGATTTTTGTCCATAACTTGTCTGGCTATGAACCATAACTTGACAAGTTTGTCTATAACTTATCTGATTATGAACCATAACTTAACAAATTATGACCTATTAATTTTTATAACTAAAAATTGGCCTATATACTTTCTTAAGCTTTTCATATTGGCATATTTTCTACTATTTTCCTATATATTATATCATTGTGTTTATAGCATAACAAAAATGTTATCCGATAATATAATAAAACTGTTATGTGACAATTCTGATGTATTAAGTACATCCTATAAAATGTAGTGATTGTGTTCCTAATAATGATGATAATTAGTATTTAATTAAAGTTTGTTTTATAAATTTAATAATAATTTAAACTTTTTTATTACATTATTTTTTTTTATAAAAATTTAAATTTTGTTCCTAACTTTCTACGGACTAAATGGGCCCAAATGTTCTTTCAAGATCTATAACTATAAGATTCTAATCTCTCCCCATATATATTCCATTGAATATTGCGTTTCAACAAAAATAACAGATTTGTAAAATATTTATTTGACTGTGCAAAATGCCAAACGAACGGTACCGCTCGCCCTTATGCTCTTTGCAGTGACAATTTCCTTTCACCAAAGTGTCTTTGGAATTACTTGTTTGGTACACTACGGCTTCTACCAAAGATCCTGCATATTTCGGTCCCCAATGTGTACCGACTTTACTTTATTTAATAAATTAATTAGGACTTTTATAATAACAATATTTTTTCAGGTCAAAACTGATTTATAATTGGCTATAGGTTGAACAATAGATTAATCCCTCCCTAGAACCAATAGTTCCATTGTGGGGTCTTCTAGCTACACTTATCTAAGGATTCTATTTAAAAAAAAAAAAAAGATTTTGAGTTATTCTATAGTAGTATCATTCATACAATTCTAACCATTGAATCTGATAAAAATCACATAAATAATAATAAAAAAAAATAGAACAAACCATTTTTGATGGATTTGACACTGAAAACAGAAACATATTAATAGTTCATTTTTTCTTGTGAGCATGGCATCACACAAACTTCCTTATAAGAAATCGTCTCCAACTAAATGGTCTACCATGAAAGTGGCAAGCAGTGATTAGGATTTTGATATAGAGCTTCTCAGGCGCCAACTTTGATATATTATTTATAAGATTAATAAGATTCCTTGTACATATCGGTCATCAATAAGTTTTTGTTTCAATTCATTTTAGGTACAACAATATGCACAACATATAACTTTTTTTCATATAATGTCGGACTCCACAACTTAAACGATTAATAATTGTTACAATACGCACCACATACCACAACTCCAAATCCCAACACCACCATTGGTTTCTTAATTTTTGGATTGTTGTGCTGCAAAGCAATATATTTTCACTTCCAAACATACACAATTTAGTTATAAGTAGTTGTTTTCTTCATTTGGGTTTTCATGTTTTGTAGCTAACTTGCTTTTGCTTAGCTTGGTTAAGGTATTGAATATAAATAGTATTTCCATGTATATAGTTCTTTTTTTCAATTATAAATCTCTGAGGATTAAAAAGTGTACCATTTGCTAAAATGCAGCAAATATAATAAGAGCGGCTTTCTAATTTCCAAGCCCTCCAAGGGGTAAAGTCAAGTGTCTTAATTAATTTTGTCCCTTTTGTGTATACATATGAAATGGTAGGCCCAAATGATGTGGGGTTTCTTTATTGCCTACATAAGGCATGTATTCAACCGGGTTTTTTAAAAAAAAAAAAAAAAAAAAAAAAAAACAACAAAAACCATACATATTTGATGCTATTGGACCAAAAAGTATATTGCTTTAGTTATAATGTCGTTATCATGAGATTACATTTAATCAAACAAAATATTAATCAGTCAACTGACCGTTGGTTACTATTTTTTTTTTCTTTTTTGCTTATGCACTCCTAAGTCCTAACTCTATCGGAACACTAACCGTTCGGTTCGTTAATTTGAGTTTTTAATTCGAGTTGAGATGTGATGTTGTGTGAGAGCTTTTTACTGTAACAAAAAAATTACATGTGACTGTTTCTGAGAGCTTTTTACTATAACAAAACTCAAATTTTAAACTCGAATAAGTAAAAAGAACGGGCCAATATCCTTATACTAAGAGCATATAAGGTACGATCAAAGTTAAGAACATAAATACCAGAATAACCCTCAAATATCCATGAAATTATTTCCAAGCAAAAATTACTAGGCACAGCTAAATTAAATGCACAAAGTCACAATCCTTTTTTTTTTTTTTTTTGATAAGCACAAAGTCACAATCTTGAACATCTTATTATGTTGATATTAGTCGATGTCATGAATGCCAAGAAACCCAGATGAAAAATAATGTGATGTGAAAAAAGGAGGGTATTTCTGTAAATTACTTGATAATAAATTATTAACACTCAATTCTGTCCGTATTTCCCTCCTTGACATAGACGTTGTCTTCAATACTAACTAGGGAGAAAGTATGAAAGTCGCTGTTGCTTAAATTTTTGTAAAAACAAAAACAAGTGGGAAAAAAAAATGCCCCTTTTTAAAAAATTTAAAAATCACATGGATGGACCAAAATATGTATTATTGGGAAAAAAAAATTCACAAAAAATACATTCTCTGTGGGTCTTATCTTGCAAAAGAGTCCATTAGTATGATAATGACATACCAAATCTTGATAAAGAATCCAATAATACCATGTCCAATGCAACCTTCTTTTATAGTCTATTAATCAATTCACAAACTAGTTAGTGTACATGAAATTAGAATTCTCTCGCCCTTCAATTATTAGTATTCCAAGAGGTTCAATACTTATTTTTCCCCTTTTTATCTTTTAAACTTGTTCTAATAATATTATCAAGCCATAATAAAGTAAACACACAAACATATATATATATATATATATATATATATATATAATCACTGATGGAACATAACCTGAAACATTTGGTTAATCATGATTCATAACTATTCTCAATTTATGTGTATTTTTTATGAGAGAAAATATTAGAGCGAATCACGACTATAATTTGAAAATTTTCTAGCAAATAAATCCCCAAAATTGAGCTGGATCATATGCATATGGCAATTGCCAAAGTTGGGATTTACAAATCAAATCCTCAATATGCTTTGTTGGACATCTAGAAAAAAATAAATTAAAAACAAAAAAGACATGTTTTCTAAACAAAGATTACTTGTAAGGAAGTACAAGTTTTGAAAAAAAAAAAAAAAAAAAAAAAAACACTCTATCTCAATGTTCCTTTGACCCAACGCAGTATACCACCTAATTAATTAATTTTGTTATTTACCTAAATAATTTATCACAGAGAAGCTTCTCATGCACTTTTTTTTTTTTAATTTTAATTTATCATTTAAAAAAAAAAAATACAGTGTCACCGTTTCCTAAAGGAGCTAAAGAACCATTACAGAGAGAGAGAGAGAGAGAGAGGCTCCTCAGATCTGCCGTGCTTGCTCGTTGCTTTCTTGTCTTCTTCCGAGTCTCCAAACTCGTTCCCGAGGACTCACATTTTCACATTCCAACGTTCTTTTAAACTCCAAAGTCCAGAATCTCCCTCCACTCGCCACTCACTGAGTCAACTCGCTCTAATCTCTCTGTTTTCTGCTCTGTTTTTCTTCATACACTGAGGTCTGAGAGCTGAAAAAGCACGGAGCTTTACTTCTCGCGCTCGCATTGAGGCCGCCGGTGGCCGGAGGGATCGCCAACGTCCCGTCCGGTTCTCTCTGAGCTCCGACTGATTCTAATGGAGGTCCCGTTGAGCCTCGAGCTTCTGTAGAGGATCGCGAGAGATGTTCAAGCCGGCGCGATGGAGGAGCGAGAAGAACAAGGTCAAGGCCGTCTTCAAATTGCAGTTCCATGCAACTCAGGTCCGTGACTAGTCCTCTTCGTTTAGGTTTCCGAGAAAATGTCTTGAATTGAATTTTCCGTTTCGGAGGTGTTTGGAAGCTTAGAAAGTCTAGAAACTCACTCAATTTCGCTTCGCATTGCTCTCGATTCTCGATTTTCTCTCATTTTCTCATCTTTTCTCTCCGTTTCTCGTCTATGCAACCAAGCGGAATAATCATGGAAGAAGTTGAATGCTTTTTTCGTCATTAAGATTGTTAAAAGGAAATGTGTGTGTGTTTTTTTTTTTTTTTTTTTTTTTTTTTTTCCAGGTATCTCGATTGGGCGTGGATTCCCTGATAGTGTCTGTGATTCCCGTGGACGTTGGAAAACCGAGTGTGAGATTAGATAAAGCTACTGTTAAAGACGGGAATTGCCGATGGGAAAATCCGGTGTACGAAACGGTCAAATTCTTTCGCGAGCCCAGAACTGGGAAGATCAGTGAGAAAATCTACCGGTTTAGTGTCTCAAATGTATGAATTATTGCTTAAAATGATTAAATTTTGAGTGTTGATTAGTTTCTGAATTGTGAAATTCTTTGATTAGCGGCATTTTAACTTGTTGCTATGGCTTTGTTTGTGTAGGGATCGGCGAAAGCTGGTGTTATCGGAGACGTTTCTATTGATTTTGCTGCTTATGCTGAGGCCAATAAGGCTTCCACTATCTCTCTTCCCCTCAAGAACTCGAATTCTGATGCAATATTGCATGTTAGTACACTTCCTTCTTCAATTTGCATTTGTATAAGAAAAAGTCAAGAGATTGAAGTACTGGTTTCGTCGTCTTATTGAATTGCTTTTTTGGTTCTTAATAGGTTGTAATTCAGAGGCTCCAAGCAAACTTTGATCAGAGGTAATATGAATGGAAATGTTGGTTTTTCTTTTAATTTTTTTGAATTTTCCAAGATTTTGTTCATGAATTGTGATGGGTTTTTGGTTTGGTGGGAAATAAATGTGCAGAGAGGTGGAAGAATGTGATGCCACAAAGCCCAAGTCTCAAGATAGGAGCTTGAAGACCCACTTGAGCAACGGTGACTCTGATGAAAGTGTTGTGATTGTATGTTTCATTTTTTCCTCATAAAGAATGCCTTATTTTATTTTTTTTTATTTTTTTTTATCAATTTGCCACAGAGAGTTCTTTGTTACTCTTGAGTTGAGCAGATGAAGGGGGAAATTGATTTTGGATGGTGCTAAAATGTGTTTTACTTTGTGTTTGTAGATAATTTTTTTTAGTAGAAATTTAAACGAATTGCTATAAGTAATATGTAAATGCTCTGTTTTTTTCTTAATATTTCTTGTTTCGATCCTTACAGGACGAGCCAATTAATAAAACCACCCATAATGGTGAATTGAATGGTAACCGTAGAGCATCTAGCGGATCTGACATTACGTTGTCAAGTTCTGACAGCAGCTATGGGGTTGATACACCTCGAGAACTTGGACTGCAAAATGTTGATGTCCATCAGGGGCCTCCCACCTACTTATCATCTCTGAGCCACTCCTCTGTGCCTCACAAAAAAGCAGCATATGACTCGATACTCCATGAACAACATCAGAAATCACAATGGGAGTGGTCTGGAGGTTCTGATCATGGGGTGAATACAGATGATTCAACACACAGTTCTCACGACACTCTTGCAAGAGAAAATTCTCAACAGGCTTCTGATGTTGAGATCGAAAGGCTTAAGGCTGAGCTCATTGTTTTAGCTAGACAGGCTGACGTATCCGAGTTGGAATTACAAACTCTGCGAAGGCAGATCATAAAAGAGAGCAAAAGGGGACATGATCTATCCCGAGAAGTTGTTTCTTTGAAAGAGGAAAGAGATGCATTCAAAAAAGAATGTGAGAGGCTCAAGTCCTTTCAAAAACGTAACGATGATGCAAAATCTAATAGCAGATTGCAAATGGAAGGTGGGGATCTTAGAGCTCTTGTTGAAGAAATCAGACAAGAGCTGAATTATGAGAAGGATCTGAATTGCAATCTTCGGTTACAGCTCCAGAAAACGCAAGAGTCGAATGCCGA